GGGGCTCCGGTCTCCTCAGTCCCCACTCTCTGGGGGTGACGTGGATGTGTCTATACCAGGGGCTGCTCTGGAGGCCGGGACCGAGGCCCCAGGTTCTGCTGGATTCTGGGCCAGGATGCTCCTCCATTTCTAGCAGGTGGAAACCACAGCCGATGCGAGGAGGAGATTAAGTGGCTTTCTGAGGACGCTTGCCGACCGCCTGGAAGGCACCAACCAGCTGCTTTCATCCGACATGAAGAAGGACTTTGTCATGAACAGACTCCCCCCTTTCCACGTGGGAGACGGAGCAGCGCTCTCCACGCCAGGTGAGCTGCCGTCTTCTCCTCGGGGTCAGGGCCAATGTGGTATTCGGAGGCTTTCCTGGGTGGCCTCTCTGAGCAGGTGGAACGTTGGAGCATTTTAGAATTTCCACGGAGCTGGGCCTGTCTCTAGTGTGTGTGGTTGGACAACACATGCTGCACGCACGCCTTAGCTTCGTGTACCTCATGGTCACGTGCACAGACCTCGAGTCCCTGCCCGTGGGGAATGAGAGCTCTGATTTTGGGGGAGATATATGTGTATGCACAGGTACTCGGGTAAAAGCCATCGTCAGGACGTTTTAAGGACCTGAACATCGAGACATTCTCCTTGGAATTAACTCTGGGAGGGGGAGCACGTTGCCGTTCAGCAGGTGGAATGGGAGAGTGCCCCAGGTGATCACCGACCTCCCCCAAGTCCCAGGTGACTGTTTTGTGACAGGTTTAGGCTGCAAATGACCTAACACACTTCCGGGGGGTGGTGATTTCCATGTTCTGTAGCAAAGACCAGCAACACCAACTCCTGTGGTCGGACACACTGGGGTTTATTGACTTGCTGCAGCGCAGAGGCCCACACACACTGTTGGGCGCTATGGGGCATCTCAGTCAAAGGGCTTTGCTCTGGGTTAGGTGCTGTCGGGAAGTCGGGGATCCTGTGACTGGGACTCGTACATCTGAGCCCATGGCCGGAGGACTGATGTGACGACAGGCAAATCAGCAGCGGTCTCCTTCGCCAGGACAGGAGCTGTCTGGTCACTTCTGCCGTGTGGACGATGTTCTTTTGCCTGAGTCCTGACGTGTTTGCAGCAGTCCTGTTCGTCTTGATCTCAGTCAGCGCGGCCTGTGTGTTACATGGTCTCTGGAGCCCCCTCACTTCTGTAGAACACCGGGAGGCCATGGCCAGGCCGGGGCCAGGGGCTGCCTCTTCCTCAGTGGGGCTGAGCGAGAGCAGCATTTTCACCAACTTTTATAGAAGCCTTGTTTATCATCAGCTGAGAACCACTGGAATAAACAATCCCTTCTAACACTGATTCTATTTTTATTATATCTTTGGGGGAAGTTTAGGATTTGTTTTTGATTGTATCTATTTAAAATAGCAAATGTTTTACCAGCACATATTCTAATCTTTAACAGAACAGAGCTTTCTGAGTCTCGGAAAACGGCCCAGAATATTTTTCTAGTTTTCCTTAACTTAGCCACTGTAGTCAATAAAGCTGTGATCCCTTACCAGGGAAGAGGGCCCTGTAGGCTAGTCTGCTTGTAGTGGCTGCCTTTTCACTAAGTTAAATTCAATTTGAAAATTATTTTTGTCCCTGTGAACGTTACCAGGTGGCTTCTACATGACACCATGCTTGATCTACACAGACTATTTGCCAGTCATGCAACTAGTAATTGATGGGGTGGTGCAGTCTGAACGCAGGTGCTCCTTCTGGCGTCCACATGTAGAATAAGCAGCAAAAGAGGATAAACTGGAGGCGGAGTGCTCTGAGCAGAAGGGCAGGGCCCGTCTCCGCTGTTTATGTCTATTTAATGTACTTATCGGCTCATCTTATATCTGTCCTCACTATGAGAATGGGCTCCATTAGGATGTAAACTATATATATCATCACTATAAATGTCAGGGTCAGTAAGTAAATACCCTGATTGGACTCACTGCAAATTGTCAGTCAATGTGTTCCTTAAACAGTTGCACCTGCAGACTAGTTGGATCCTGCTGGGTCCCACTTTTGAAAACTGCTTTTTTGTCTGGATTGTCTAGGTGGACAGTTGCCGAGGTTGGACAGCATCGTGAGGCTGCGCTATAAAGACCACATCGTCCTCACGGTGATGCCGGATCAGGGTGGGTCTGTGAGTATCCGGAGGGGAGAGGTTTCTGTCCTCAGGGCATCTCCCTCAGACTGACAGGTGGCCACGCCCTCCCCTCTGGCAGTCCCTCTGCTCTCACAGCTCAGTGCCTGCCATTGCTTTAGGGCGATACTGCCCAAACCTCACTGTTCCACATTTCCCTTCCTGGTGGGCATTTGAGGGCTTGCTTGCCCTCATCTCCCACAGAATCCTTCTAAAAAAACTGATTTCAGAGAGAGGGAGAGCGAAAGATAGAAATATCAATGAGAATCATTACTTGGTTGCCTCCTGCACGCCTGCCCCCTACTGGGGAATCGAGCTCGAAATCTGGGCCTGTGCCTTGACTGGGAATTGAACCATGACCTCCTGGTTCATGGGTTGATGCTCCACCACTGAGCAACACGGAGGCCCACAGAACCCTTTTAATTGCCCTCACATAGTGATTGTCTGGTCTCTGCCCCCAGTTGGGTTTCAGGCCATGCTGCTCAGACGACTTTGGACCCTGTCCATGCGTCTCCCTACCTCAGTCCCTCTTCCGTCCCGTAAACTGTGCAGGTTTGTCTTTACATACAGTTCTGTTGATGTTTCTTCTTAAAAAATCTCTGTCCTGTGGGAAGATATTCTACTTTCCATACGTGACCCAGTAGTTCCCCAAACTGGCTGATCGTAGAATCAGCTGGAAAAGTTTGAGATAATGAATTCCTGGGCTCCATCTGGTCTGGGTTGGACCCTCTGCACTTGTTACAGCTCCCCCTACAACCCAGAGACCTTTGGAACTGTCCCAGGCCCAAGGCTTCACCCGATTCCTCCTGGTCAGCTTTCTCGGGAGGCACCTCAGGGATGACTGGAGGGACGGGGGCACCTAGATGAACAGACTGCTCCAGCCGTCAGGGCCAGACCTGGGGGGGCTGGTTTCTAATAGACACAACACCTCAAAAGTACACATCTTCATTGAAAAACGCCGTCACTCTGCTAATGCGTCAGTTTGGGGCCATCCTCTCCCAGGCCAAGGTGTTGGAGCTTTACCTAAGGCGACAGGGAATGGCAGGCTCTGGCAGAGTCTGAGCTGCACTGTGTGGGAGGGAGCGGGAGGGACGTAGAGGCCGTTGGGGAGGCCACTGTAATTGGAATGAAAGTTTTATAGATCACACAGCTGGTATTTCTCTAGAGGTAATGTTCACGCCATAATTTTCATGTCAAATTTTGATGCAAAAAAGTGCAGGTGTGATTAAGTGAAGAAACTTGAGTATTTCATTAGGTTGCTATGTAAATTGTTGCTTTTTGATGAAATCAGGTTTCTGAAGATGCTCTAGCAGGTGTACTGTTTTATCTGTTATTTGCTACAAACAAATCGTAATCTGTGAGGACGGTAATGAAGTAATAGGCAGACACACAATATATCACAACATTTTGCCCAAAGGATTCTTTACAGTAGTCAATAAATTTCACTAAAGCACCGAGGTTTTAAGATTTTTCTTGGTTGTTGACCCATGTTATTGGAAAAAGCTCCTAGTAACGAAACCCTCTAAATTCTGTTGACGACTTAATGCTTTTTCTTTTTAAAGGATGAAACTCAAGAAAAGATGGTTTACATCTACCACTCCTTACAGAACAGGAGAGAGACACACATGATGGGGAGCGAGGAAACAGAGGTTCGTTCCAACCTGAAGTGGATGCTTTTCCTTCGGTCGGTGGTGGCTGGGAGAGTCTGTTCCCTCTGATTTATGGGAACTGTGCTTTGTTATAATTGCAGTGCAGGCTTAACGTTCCATACACCTGACAGCCCTTTCGAGTCACATGGTTCTGTGACGTGCAGACACTAGCTGGATGTGCAGGAAAGGTGTAATGTAATGCTAAGCATTTACGTTAGGATGTCTTTCCTGAAGTCTGAGTTTTCATACAGGAATTGGCAAATTCTGTAAGTTATCTGATTATAGTCTATGTGCATAGCCTAGCCCAGTGGTCGGCAAACCGCGGCTCGCGTGCCACACGCGGCTCTTTGGCCCCTTGACCGTGGCTCTTCCACAAAATACCACGTGCAGGCGCGCATGTACAGTGCTATTGAAACTTCGTGGCCCATGCACAGAAGTTGGTTTTCGGCCTGGGCGAGTCTATTTTGAAGAAGTGGCGTTAGAAGAAGTGGGGGTACGTTTGCTGAGGTTAACCCCTCAGATTGAGGACGTTTTTAGCAAAGGCCAGCTTAGGAGTACCCTAATTAAGTTAATAACAATGTACCTACCTATATAGTTTAAGTTTAAAAAATTTGGCTCTCAAAAGAAATTTCAGTCGTTGTACTGTTGATATTTGGCTCTGTTGACTAATGAGTTTGCCGACCACTGGCCTAGCCCATCTGAAACAAGTTTCATACTTTGAAGGGCGTCAAAAATAACGGCATACGAAGAGTTTTGGGAGTTTATGTGAGAGTGCCCCTGGAGAGACATAAGTGGAGTATGATCTGACTGGTTTATCCTTTTTCAGGCTCATGGACTTCGTTTTCCTTTATCTCATGTGGATGCACTGAAGCAAATTTGGAGCAGCTCAGCGATTTCTGTCAAGGACCTGAAACTTGCTACAGATGAGGAAAAGGAGAGCCTGGCCTTGTCTCTCTGGACAGAATGTTTACTCCAGGTAGTCTAGCGCCTCTACGCACTGTGTCTAGGATTTTGCATACACAGGAAAAGCAAACATTTATATGTTGGGGGCCCCTGCTGCTCTGAGTAGCAGACAGGGCTGGAGGGATGGTTACATACAACTTGACTGCATGTGTTCTGGTAACAGGAGACCCACCGGTTACAAGTGGTCATATGCATTAAAGAAAGGATGGCACATTACTCCGTGTCCTAGAAAGTGGCAAAACCGTACTTGTGACAGGTTTATTTATCCAGTGTGGTAGAAAAGGCACAACGACAATAAAGGTATCATTTAAATTTAGAAGTTGTTACCTGGCTTTGTCTCTGTTCTTTGGAAGAAACTTCTTTAAAGAGCCTCATTGGCTCTGAAAAATTTTTAAGCAATTAACATGAAGAAAAAAATTTTAACTTTTTTTTTTTTACAATGACAATATACATACCTTTTGTATACACAAGCCCCCATTTAAAATAAAGTTACCCCTATAAGTTTCATTAAATAATGTTGCCACACTAATGAGAGGCACTCATGTCTATGGGCATGAGGGAGTTTTACAGATGCTGCTTCAAAGATGACAGAAAAGCCTGAGATCAGAGGAAAAACCCCAATGATATCTACGTGGAAAGACCAAGTCTCTATAAAAAGTTCTCAAAATAGTGGGTCTTTGAGTTTAAACAATTCACTGTTACTTTATATTCTAAAGTGCATACAGGTTGATATTTTAAAAAATACCACTGGAGAACTTAATCTTTCTATGTAAAAAATAGGACATTTTTCTGTTTTCTGGCAAAAGTTGGGGATAAAGGGAACAGTTATCTCCAACTCTCAGTTTAAAACCAGCTCAGGAAGGAAAAATGCTTGTGAATTGTATGGTTAAAGGTGGTAATGCTTACTTTAAGCCCAAGGTGATATCCTATCTGATTTTGCTTAAATAAAAGCTATTTAAAATGGGAGTGGAACACTGAGTTTTCTATTTCGTAGAAAAATCAACTCCACTTTTACTTACAGTAAAATGGTATAGTCAAGTCTCAACTACTACTTGGTTTTAATTTGAACATGTGAAACTTCCCTTTATCAGGCAAATAAATACCTGACCATCTTCTATGGAGGTGAAACAGTTTTAATAAACCCTTCTCGAGGGCAGATCAGGCGAAACCGAGGGGGAGGTGTCACACCAGGACAGGTAACACTGAGTCCTGTGGCCCAGAGGGTGTCTTGCTAATACTTAGAGTGCAAGGATGGTCAGGTGATTTGTGCTTTTTAAGTCTGAAGGACTGAGAAAAGGATGGCCACAGACAATACTCCATATTTAAGCCCTTTTCCTGATAAAGTTCAGGTCCCTCCCTGGGGTCAGTTACAAGTATGAATACTTACGGTGCTTCAGTTATAAAAGCCTCAATAGAAAACCTTTAAGGTTTAGCTATTAATACAGCAGCTTAATAGGTTTATTAACTATTCTTCAAATATTGCTGAAAATTATTCACAACCTATAGGAATTTACTTCCCCGCGCCTTGGACTCATCCACACATGTAGTAGGATGTGAATACCTACAGGTCGGCAGCACCGCCAGTGTCCTAAATGATGCTGTCAGGAACGGAACGTACTGGGTGGACGGAGAGAGAACACCGGTGTCGGTAGACTTGCTCACCCATGTTGGAGATGAAGCAGGAATAGAACCTTTAACCAGAAATCATGACCCGTTCCTCACAGGGGCACGGAGCAGCTGGCAAGAATATGCTGAGCTCCTGGTGGTGAGCACCGGTGGTGCTTCCTGTCCGGGGAGGCACGGCGCTTCCCCCTTGGTTCTTTCTAGGGATGCTGCCAAGTCTCACAAGATTTCAATGTCCCACTTCTGCGTTTCTTTCCCCTCCAGGGGCTGGTTTACAATGACATGGGTCTTGTCATAATAATTTCCTCCTAGAATAGAAATTCCAAAAGAAAAGATTATGTCTTCACACAAGTGCGCAACTGTGTCCACCAGCTATTGTTCAGCCCGAGGTTTGGGTCGATTAGCATGTCATTACAAAGCGGGCTGAAATGGGAACCCGAGTTTACACAGGCTGAGCTATTCTTCACCTCATCATGAGAGCTGTAACAGGTGATGCACGGGAGGTGTGCCCCGCCCCGCCCGGAGCCTGAGAACCAGGTGCTCGAGACTCTGGCTGAGTGCCAGGCACTGTTCTGTTTCTACATCAACAGTGGCTACGACTAACCCAGTGCAGCGGCAGCCCTGACCGTGCTGGCCCTGACCTTGCTGGATGAAAAAACAAGGTTAAATACTTCCCATAGGTTTCAGCTGAGGGCTTTTAAGGATTAGAGCAGTGGTTCTCAAGCTTGGCTGCACATTAGAATCACCTGGGAATCTTTTTAAAATCCTGATTTCTGGGCCTCATCCCAAAATCAGGAGTTTAAAAAGATTCCCAGGTGATTCTAATGTGCAGCCAAGGTTGAGAACCACTGGACTAGAGCAATTTACAGCAAAAAGTTAGAGATGTTTATTTCTAAGAAACCTTATATTTTATGGTTTGATATTCAAATGTGAAAATGTTCTAAAGATCCCCGCATGACAAGTGTAAGTTTTTCAGCTGCATCAATGAGCAGAGCCTCAGGCGGTGTCCTCAGGCTTCTCCTGCTTGATCCACGTGGCTAATGGTTTTGTTTGTTAAAACAGCAAATCTTAACTTTTTCCAAACATAATTTAAAATGACTTAATCTCTCTCTTATACATAGTGATTTTCGTTACCCAGGAGCGGGAAGAGGTTTAACTTAAAATGGAATCCAGAAACATGACTCACGGGGAAACCCACCTTTCACATCGAGGACAAGCTGGTCGCTGAGATAGGAGCTGATGGTGCCGTTTCTGTTCAGCCTCCACTTCTGCCTCAGTTGCCCATGTTCCGCCCACAGGGCTACTCTAGCTCCTGGCGTGTCCCGGCCGCCAATCACATCCAGGCAGGTGTCGCTGGCCTACAGGGTTAAGAAATGCATGGGTAGCACTGTGTTTGCTAAAATACCTTGAATTGGGTCCCTTTTCTTTTTTTCTTTTCAAACTTCAAGAGAAAGTTTATTTAGCAAGTTACAGAGATAGTGGAAGGGAGCCAGCTGGGCTGTTCAGGCTCAGGGAACAAGTCACAGAAGCAAAGAAGGGCCCTTGGGGCTTAGAAGAGGGAAAGGCCTGGGAGGGCTGCGTGCTCCCGAGAGGGCGAGCACACGCCGGGCCCCTCCTCCATGTGAACAAGTCACAGACCGTGAGCGACTATGTCCCCTCTGAAAAGAATACTGTGCACAGCGTAATTATAACTTCAGTAAGCTTCCAAAAAGCTTCGTTATCGCTGAGGGGAGGAAATGGTATAGAAATAAACCTGAAATGGAGGTATTTTTTCTAAAAAGATGCCTACATCTGACAACAGATGTTCAATAAATGTTTGTTGGACTGGAATTACATGTTAAGTCCCTGCTAGCTTACAAGTATTAGCTCGAAGAACTTAGTTTTCTTAATGCTCTTCATTTTGGGTGAAGCATGAGATAAAAGTAGACAAGCCACCGGCGAGATAATACAATACACTTGGAACGTTTTAAAACTTTTATTCCCCACAGCATCAGACACGGAGGGGTCTCAGAGAAACAGAAACCCGGATTTTATTTCCTAGGCTTTCCCCAGTGACAGCTTCTCTCTTCTCTAGCTACTTCATTTTGAAAATGAGAAGGCACCACCGGGTTTGGAATCCCAAAGGCAGCCAGTTCCATCTGGGCTTTATTTATTTTTATTTTTTTAAATTAAATCTTTATTGTTCAGATTATTACAGTTGTTCCTCTTTTTTCTCCCCATAGCTCCCCTCCACCTGGTTCCCACCCCACCCTCTGCCCTTACCCCCCCACCCCCACTGTCCTCATCCATAGGTGTACCATTTTTGTTTTTTGTTTTGTTTTTAAATTAAATCTTTATTGTTCAGATTATTACAGTTGTTCCTCTTTTTTCCCCCCATAGCTCCCCTCCACCCGGTTCCCACCCACCCCTCTGCCCTTACCCCCCGCCCCTCACTGTCCTCATCCATAGGTGTACGATTTTTGTTCAGTCTCTTCCCCCACCCCCCACATGCCTCCCCCCTAGACGCCCCCCCTCGAAAGAGTAGTCAGTCCACTCCCTTTCTATGCCCCGATTCTATTATATTCACCAGTTTATTCTGTTCATCAATTTATTTACTTGATTTTTAGATTCACTTGTTGATAGATGTGTATTTGTTGTTCATAACTTGTATCTTTACCTTTTTCTTCTTCTTCTTCTTCCTCTTCTTAAAGGATACCTTTCAGCATTTCATATAATACCGGTTTGGTGGTGATGAACTCCTTTAGCTTTTCCTTATCTGTGAAGCTCTTTATCTGACCTTCAATTCTGAATGATAGCTTTGCTGGATAAAGTAATCTTGGTTGTAGGTTCTTGGCATTCATCACTTTGAATATTTCTTGCCATTCCCTTCTGGCCTCCAAAGTTTCTGTTGAGAAATCAGCTGACAGTCGTATGGGTACTCCCTTGTAGGTAACTGACTTTCTTTCTCTTGCTGCTTTTAAGATTCTCTCTTTGACTTTTGCTCTTGGCATTTTAATTATGATGTGTCTTGGTGTGGTCCTCTTTGAATTCCTTTTGTTTAGGGGTCTATGTGCTTCCTGGACTTGTAAGTCTATTTCTTTCACCAGGTAGGGGAAGTTTTCTGTCATGATTTCTTCAAATAGGTTTTCAATATCTTGCTCTCTCTCTTCTTCTGGCACCCCCATAATTCGGATGTTGGTACGCTTGAAGCTGTCCCAGAGGCTCCTTACGCTATCTTCATATTTTTGGATTCTTTTTTCTTTTTTCTTTTCCGGTTGGGTGTTTTCTGCTTCTTCGTATTTCAAATCTTTGACTTGATTCTTGCGATCTTCTAGTCTGCTGTTGGAACTCTGCATAATATCCTTTATTTCAGTCAGTGTATGCTTAATTTCTAGTTGGTCCTTTTTCACAACCTCGAGGATCTCACTAGATTTCTGGAGGGTCTCACTAAATTTATTGGCGGTTTCACTAGACTTATTGAAGGTCTTACTAAATTTATTGGCGGTTTCTAGACAATTCTTGAAAAATCTTATAAGTGTGGTTTTGAACTCTATATCCAGTAGTTTGCTTTCCTCCATTTCTGTCATTTGTGACTTGTTTCTTTGTCTCTGCATTTTTTATGCTACCCTGTGTTGATAGAGTGGCTTTGTGTGCTAGGTGTCCTATAGGGCCCAGTGGCTCAGCCTCCCCAATTACCTGAGGTGGACACTCTTGGTGCACCCCTTTGTGGGCTTTGTGCACAGTCTTGTTGTAGTTAAGCCTTGAGTGTTGTAGGTATCACTGGGAGGAATTGACCTCCAGGTCAACTGGCTGTGAGAATCAGCTGTGTCTGCAGTAGGAGAACTTCTGTGCTGGAGACACCCTTCTGGGGCAAGACTTGCTTCATTGGGGCTTTGATGCTCACTGAGTCTGCCCCCTGAGTGTGTCCCTTATGGATCTTAAGAGTTGTAATCTGGATGATCCCACTCTGACCACTGGTACACTGGCTCTTGGATCTCTGAGAAGGTGCTAATTTAGCCTCTGCCTGAGGCTACCCAGCAGGAGCTGTGGAGAGATCTGCAGATTCCTCTTCTTTTTTTGGGGTTTGGAGGTGCTCAGATGAGGCCCAGCTGTGAAGCAATGCAAGCTGCTGTGGGGCTTTGGGCCTTCTTTTGAAAGTTCTAGGTCTCTCTGACCCAGCTGCAGTTTGCTAGGTAATTTTCAGATTGCAAAGGGCCAGGCCTTTTATATGCAAAAGCCTCTGGGCACAGCTTGGGTGGGGCGGGGTCAAAGGGGATCAACAGGGCGGATCAAGCAGCTATGGCTGATCCTCAGCCCTGCCCTAAGAGGCCCCGGGTCTCAGTGTCCCAGTAATCGCTGCAAGCACCTCTGAGAGAAAGCTGCCCTCGAGTTCCGCCCGATGCCAGACAGTCCAGTTTCTCCCCGTATGAGTTTGGGTCCCCAGAGACTCGCCCTGAACTGGAGTTCAGAGCAGTCGGGAGCTTGAGACTCCCTCCCGATTGAAAAAGACAGCCGTGTCCTCAGTTGCCAGCCCTTTCCACGTGCGCCTCCGTACCTCTGCACTTTACTTCCGAACCTCGTCTGCGTCTCAGTGCTTTTCTCTTTCCTTCTAGTTGTAGAATTTCCACTCAGCCAGCCTTCCTGTGGTTCTGGGTGATGTCCGTTTTGTCTTTTAGTTGTATTTTTGAAATGGTTGTGTGAGGCAGCAATTTCCGGTGTTTACCTGTGCCGCCATCTTGGTTTCTCCTCCATCTGGACTTTAAAGGAGCACCTCACCTGAGAAGCACACTGCCCAACCTGAACCCAGTGACTGTCACCATTGGTTCTAAAGAACCATTTAGATCACAGTGTGTGATCTTAGATTTTACTTTAAAATAGAAACTCAATTTTCTAGATCAAACACTTCTCTAAGTCCGGTCACTTTCATGTATCAACACCAGTATTTATATAATCAGGGACAAACTGTTTCTAGGAAGTTCTGTTATTTTTTCACGCTTTTAGATTTGACAAGATTCTGGTTTCCAAAAGAACAAGCCCAAACCCATCAGCGGGGCCTGGTTTGAGCGCTGGTTACCTTGGATTTGAAGAGTCCTCGGCAGTAGTGCCAGACCTGGGTGTTCTTCCCGCTGTAGGGGGCGGTGCACACAGAGTTCGCCCGGGCGTCAGCGGCATTTCCAATGGCTGTCAGGTACTCCTTCTGGGCCCGGTTCTTGATCCTGATGTACACTGCAGGCTGCGACAGGGAGAAACAGGCATTTAGGAAAAACCTGTTGAATGTGGAGATCAGTCCTTCCCAAGGGGAGGCTTGGAGGGGGGAAGGGAGAGGTGATGGGATTCAGCGTGGTCCTGTCAGTTTCACTCAGTCCCTTTAGCAAATATATATAAATTAATATTTCCTATTAGCAAATCCTTACACCACTGAGCACAAAGCTCCAACTTACAATCTCTATTATATTTTTCTGAAAAATGTCCTTTAGAAGAGTAAAGGTAATACTTTCATTCTCTAGAATTCTGTGTGGCACGGGGGTGGAATTAGGGACTTGACAAGCTTCATTCAATAGCTGCTACGCTCTAACTGTCTGGGGAGGCAGGGGAGTAGGAATAGGCCAGGTGCTCCCTACGAGGACCTCGCAGCAGCTTCGTGCAACCATCAGACACGCTGTCCTGAGCTGTGATTGAGTGCCAAGTGGCTGCTGTGGGAGGTCTTAAAGACCCAGGTGGCCGAGCACCCTAGGAGCTGTCGTCATCTCCTCGTTTACATTTACACTTTGTTGACCTTTACACTGTTTATTAAAAAACTGGGTAACAAAGGACTTTATCCCCTGGATATGGAATATAGACAGTTTTAAAATATTAAATCTAGGACTAGCCTCTAAAGCAGCGGTTCTCAACCTGTGGGTCGCGAACAATGAAAATACATCCTGCATATCAGATATTTACATTACGATTCATAACAGTAGCAAAATTACAGTTATGAAGTAGCAACGAAAATAATTTTATGGTTGGGAGTCACCACAACATGAAGAACTGTATTAAAGGGTTGCGGCATTAGGAAGGTTGAGAACCACTGCAAGGTAGTTCTAAAAGTAATATAAAAAACTTAATACTAAATGCTTTCTGAGCTACTCTATTATGTCAGTATTAAAAACCAGAACAACCCTTTAACCAAGTATAACTATGACCTGAATTTTATCAGAATGGTTAAAAGGAGGTGGAGAAGCATGGTCTGTCTGCACCCAAGCCCTCCCTCACCATGATGCTCTAAGCCTACGGCCTGTGCTGAACAGCACACATTACCCTTAGGCAGGGAGTGAGTGGCGGTCCCAGAGGCGCCAGTGTGCTGAGACTCAGCGAGACGGTGGAAGGACAGCACACGACTGAGGCTCCATGCAAGCTGGTCTTCAGTCCCGGAACCTAGGCCTCCGGTCTTCATGGGGTAACACAGAGCACACGCAGCACCCTGACTCTGGGTCAGGTGTTGCATCCCAGTTAGAACCTTGCTAAGTACTAACAAGTGCTCTGTTATAAGGGAGGACTGTAATAAGGGAGGACTTTTGCTGAGAAATGTAAGTGCCAGGTCGATGCAACAAAGTATCACGGCAACACCAGCAACGACTATTCTATCTCAACATTTGTGGGAAATCAGTGCAAAGCCTCTGGAATTCTGGTAAGCTGCTGCCATGTTTAGCCTTTCTAAGGAAACGAACACTTTGAACACTTAATAGACACATTTTTATCTGGTCATTGAAAGCAGGTGAAAAAGACCCCTACTTGACAATTGTTTTACATGTTTCAAATCATAAGTTCTGCGTTCGTAATGTGATAGTAACATATTTAAATTTCCATAATCCAGCCTGGTCTCCCACTGCAATTATTATTTATTTTAATCCTCACCCGAGGATATTTTTGCCACTGACTTTTAGAGAGAGTGGAAGGGAGAGGGAGAGACAGAGAGAAATACTGATGTGAGAGAGACACATCAATTGGCTGCCTCCCGCATGCCCCGACCAGGGCCAGAAGCATGCAACCGAGGTACATGCCTTTGACCGGAATCGAACCCCGGGACCCCTCAGTCCGCAGGCTGACACTCTTCCCACTGAGCCAAACCGGCTAGGGCCAATTATTAATTCTTGAGGCTTCATTATATCTTTATTACAGTTTCCTTACCTTGTACATATAAGAAATCAGGCATGACCTTCACAGAGGACAGAGTTCCAATTATGTTAGGAACAAACATCACAGGTTTAATCAATTAACTCCAGCAAGGCACTAATTACCCTTATTGCATACTTGTACTGACTCCTCTGTAATTAGACTGTAAAACACTGATGCGCATTGTAAGTGCTTCAGTGACTTCCCAATTCCCAACCTCAAAGAGAATCGCATTGTAATTATTCCTAACTTTCCAGGCAAGAATATGAATTAAAGCAGTACTAACAGCCTTACCAAAAGGACAGTAAGGCCTACAGTACTGTTTTAGAACCAGAATTCCTTGGCTGGGTTTTAAAGCTGTGGCCTAAATGGACAACAGGAAAAACAATCCGTTAAAATATTATTTTGATATTAAATGCTTAACCAGAATAGGAATCAGGTATTTCCTAAAGCACAATGCAAGAATAACAGTGTTAACTGTCAAAAAGCTTCTCTGTAGCCCTGGCCGGCTTGGCTCAGTGGATAGAGCATCGGCCTGCAGACGGAAGGGTCCTAGGTTCGATTCCAGCCAAGGGCACATGCCTGGGTTGCGGGCTCGTTCCCCAGTAGGGGGTGTGCAGGAGGCAGCCAATCAATGATTCTCTCTCATCATTGATGTTTCTATCTCTCTCTCCTTTTCCCTTCCTCTCTGAAATCAATAAAGAGAAATATATTAAAAAAAAAAAAAAAAAAAGCTTCTCTGTAAAGCGAGAGGCCATTGTTCCAGTTCTCTTTAATTCTCAGGGCCCTGAGCAATGGGCAGGGACTCCTTCCCCAGCAAGGAATCACCTTTCAGAAGCGAGGGAAATATTCTCAAGTTTCTAACAGCACAGAATTAAATATTATTGAATGGTTGGTAAAAACTACACAGAAGTCCCACTTCTGCCTTGCTTTTTCCCATGCGATTACCCATCGTCCCATGGGCCAGGAGGGAAGAATAAGCATGTGAAGGTCATGAAACCCTGTACCACATACTCTGCCAGGAGAGCCCACTGACGTCCAGGATCTCTCAGAAGAGCATCTCTGATTCTCTCCAGGGCCATGTGAATGGTACTTGCAAGATAAATGTGTTACTATAGCAATACAAGCCAGGAGTTGTGTCAAGTTCTTCATGTATCTTATTTAATCCTCACAACGTTAGTGAGAAGTAAGGACTGTGGTCACCGTCTCACCAGTGAGGAGTCCTAGCTGCTAAGAGATGAGGTGACATTCCAGCTCAAAGTCACACTGCTTACAGGTGACAGGGCTACAGTCTGAACCAATGGAACCAGAGTGGTGGGAATGAAGGTGTGTGCGTGTGCATGTGTTAGGTCAGTTTAAAAAAAAAATAAAAAAATATATTTTGTTGATTTTAGGGACGAAGAGGGAGGGAGAGAGAGATAAAAACATCAATGATGAGAGAATCATTGATTGCCTCCTGCACAACCCCTACTGGGTATCGAGCCTGCAACCCGGGCATGCGCCTTGACTGGGAATTAAAACGTGACCTCCTGGTTCATAGGTCAATGCTCAACCACTGAGCCACGCTGGTCGGGCAGCCAATTAGGCCAGGGTTTTACTTGCCATCAGCTACTTAACAGTGTGTCAGACCTGAACCTCAGAGCCTCAGCACTTATGTCAACTGTTCCGCTGAGCTCAGTGCCTGGAACATAAGAGTGACGCTCTGTGAACACGGATCTCATTTTGAAGGAGAGTAGAGTGCGGATGCCTAAGATCACAGATTTTAGAGCACAATCGATTTGGTTCAAATCCAGCTTCTGACACTTGAATGCTTCTTGCTTAATTTGCTTTATCTCCCTGGGTCTTATTTTTCCATCTAGAAAATGGGGGAAAAAACTCCCACCTTAAAGAACTGTTGGAATCAGGTAAGAAAAGCCTCTAAGGGGTTAGAGAAAAGGACAAATGGCCTACCTGTTGACCATCTGACCCAACAGCCTGTGGTTCCCCATGCTCCTAAAACCTGCCACACTTCCACACATGTCCACACTGCCATTCTCTGCAACAGCACTGCCTGTGGCTTCTGGATGATCACACAGTTTTGCATTTTATGTTATTACTAGAGGCCTGGTGCACGAATCTGTGCATGGGTGGGGTCCTGCCAGTCCACCCCAATCATGGCTGATTGGGCCAGGCTGGCAGGGGGTAGGGGCCGTGGGTGGTTGGCTGGCCGGCCCCGCCCCCTGGTCGAACTTTTGGTCGAGGGGACAATTTGCATATTAGCCTTTTGTTATATAGGACTAGAGGCCTGATGCATGAAAATTTGTGCAAGAGTAGGCCTTCCCCCGGCTGGCGCCCCGGCTTTGTCAGGAAGGATGTCTGATCTAATTAGCATATTACCCTTTTATTATAGATTTTGAGTTGGATATTTTACCCCTCAAAATGAAGCTTTACAAAGGCAGAAGTCATGTCTATCCTTCATCCTCCACAATTCTTTACATAATATCAAACATTCATTCATCCATTTTCACTTTCATTCCTTCATTAAATAAGTCCCTGAGCTCCTACACTGTGACAGGAACTGGGGCAGTGCAAAAAGCCTCCACAGGCTGCAACAGAGTGAGAGCACCACTCTGACCATAACTACATGGTTACAAACCGCATGCAAGGGCTTGGAGGAGAACCAGGTCTTTAGGATCCGGCTTCGGTTGGGAGAGAGGGAGACAGAGGCATCTGAGGACCTGGCAGGCAAGCTGACTTTAGAGAGATGCGTAAGAGGCAGCCAGGCAACCAATGAAGGAGAACCTGACAGAGGCAAACCTGTGCCTGGAGCTGAGTGGGACAGCCGGATGCTGGAACGTGGGGCACACCGTGAGAGGAGAGGAGACCGTGAGCCAGGAGACGGGAGGGGCAGCAGAGCTAGGCCCTCGGGCCACAGGGAAGAGTGGGTCACTCTCAGTGCAGGGGAAGCTTCTGAGCAGAAGACTGACAAGCACTAGTGCAGTAGATGCGACTTGGATTAAATTGCCAGGACCCATCCGGGTATTCTATAAGTGGGGGAAAGTCCAAATACTTAGAGAGTAAAACGAGTGCAGTCTCAGAGTTCATTCTCGTTCCATTTGCCTGCTGCAGAGCTTATAATTCCTTCATTTTCTATGAAACGGGAACATGGTCACTAAGACTTTGGACTGAAAGCTACAATCCAACACTGACCGTAGACAGAATTTTAAGAACTGGTTAAAATCTACAGTATTCCCTAAGCCACTCGCCCTGCTACATAAATGGCAACCTAAGTGAAATGGTCATTATTTCAGATGCTGGTGTGGTTTATGCCACTTCTACTAGAAAATGGAGCTATTTTGGATGGCGTGGTTCTTTTCTCCTTACCTGCTTCATAGGACGGAGGGAACCAATGGTTTTCCACCCGCTGAATGCCGTCCAATTTTGGATCTCATTGGGTTCGAGTAGGATTTGTCTTCCTAGGAAATTGGATCCTTCATAAGCTATCCACCTATATGAGAGCAGGAAAGAAAGAGTGAGGGACTTCAAAACAAAAGGCAGTCCCTACATTACAGCAGCTAGGGTTCCTTCTATAACATCTGGCTTTGTAGATATTTTAAAGAAAAAACTACATAATTCTATTTTTCAACAGAAAAAGCAGCGATGATCAGGAAAAAGCCCACTGGACAGGGGCTCAGAAGATTTGGATTTGTTAGGACTCTGGTTTCTCTGCTTCCAAACAAGGTCCCCTCTAGCTCCAAAATTCATTTTCCATAACATTTCTTTAAAAAATATATTTTTATTGATTTCAGAGAGAGGAAGGGAGAGGAAGAGAGAGATTGAAACATCAGTGATGAGAGAGAATCATTGATTGGCTGCCTCCTGCACGCCCCACACTGGGGATCGAGCCCACAACCCAGGCATGTGCCCTGACAGGGAATTGAACTGTGATCTCCTCAATGCTCAACCATTGAGCCACACAGGCTACGCCCTTGGTAAGATTTTAATAAACTATCTCATTATATATCAATCTAAATGAATTGCACAGTTGAAAAGCTGTGACGGATGGTGCACTAAAGTATGGCCCTCATTACTATCACAGATCAGAGATATGGAATAATATGGGGATTAAACAAAACTAAAAACTTGTCCTAGCCGGTATGCTCAGTAGTTAGAGTATCAGCCCGCACACTGAAGGGTCCTGGATTTGATTCCCACTCAAAGGCATGTAATTGGGTTGCAGGTTCAATCACAGGTGCAGGAGACAACCGACTGATGTGTCTCTCTCACATTGATGTTTCTCTCTTTCTCTCCCCCTCTTCCTCCCTTTCACTCTAAAAGTCAATGGAAAAAATATCCTTGGGTGAGGATTAACAACAACAACAAAAAACTAAAAAAAACACCCCCTAAACAAAACCTGCCACTGAGGGTAGGTAGCTGGCTGTGCAAGACGCAGTATTCCATAAGCCATCTGTGGCCTAGGAAACCTTTCAGACAGCCTTACCCATTCCTTACGCTGTGTACCCATCTCTTACAGAGTCCTGAACAGTGAGAGTAGGTGGATAATAGAAGAAAAGAAATAAGAAGGTCAAGGGAAAATGGCACCAGTTCTCTACAAATGAATGAAATGAGACGGTGCCAAGTCTTCTGAGATGAGTCCATGAATACCAGTTCCACTTAGGAATGTAAAGAAAAGAAATGTATAAAAATGCTGTGAAAGGTATGATAATCAGGGATATGGAATTCAGTTTACAGTTAAGTGTTAAATAATGTACTGGAATATAATATGGGGGTTATTATACTCAGAGTAAATTAATGTATGTTTAATGAACACCAAACCATGTGAAATGCTTTGCAGAAAATTATAAACTGCTATTACATGTGAATAATGCAAAAGCCGTTTATTTATAACAGTTGACTCAATTTTCAAATCAATTTATATTCTTGGCTTTTTTCTCTTTCATTACCCCCAGATATTTATTTATTTATTTACTAGAGGCCCGGTGCACAAAAATTTGTGCACTCGGGGAAGGGGGGGTCCCTCAGACCGGCCTGTGCCCTCTCGCAGTCTGGGACCCCTCGGGAGATAACAACCTGCTGGCTTAGGCCTGCTCCCGGGTGGCAGAGGGCCGGCCCAATCCCTAGGTGCAGCCCCTGGTCGGGCTCAGAGCAGGGCCGATTGGGGAGCTGGGGCGCCTTCCCCTGTCATGGACAGAGCAGGGCAGATTGGGAGGTTGCAATGCCACCCTCAGTCACGCTCAGGGTAGGGCCAATTGGGGGGTTGGGGCACCGCCCCGTCACACTCAAGGCAGGGTCGATGGGGAGGTTGCAGCGCCACCCCCGTCACGCACAGAGCAGGGCCCATCAGGGGGGTTGGGGCTCCATACCCTGTCATGCACAGAGCAGCGTCAATCGGGGGTTGGGGAGCTCCCCCGTCATGCACAGAGCAGGGCCGATCAGGGGGTTGAGGAGCTCCCCCCTGTCACTCACAAAGTAGGGCCGATAGGGGAGTTGGGGCACCTCCCCCTGTCACACTCAGGGCAGGGCGGATCAGGGGGTTGGGGCGCCGCCCTCTATCACCCACAGAGCAGGGCCAATCAGGGGGTTGGGGCGCCGCCACTGTCACACTCAGGGCAGGGCAGATGGGGAGGTTATGACTCTACCCCATCACACACAGAGCAGGGCCCGGCCCGTGGAGGGGGGGGGGTTGGGGCGCCGCCCTCTATCACCCATAGAGCAGGGCCGATCAGGTGGTTGGGGCGCCGCCACTGTCACACTCAGGGCAGGGCCAATGGGGAGGTTATGGCTCTACCCCATTACACACAGAGCAGGGCCCGTGGGGCAGGGGGGGGGGGGGTTGGGGCACCGCCCTCTAACACCCACATAGCAGGGCCGATCAGGTGGTTGGGGCGCCGCCACTCTCATACTCAGGGCAGGGCCAATGGGGAGGTTATGGCTCTACCCTGTCACACACAGAGCAGGGCCAGTGGGGGGCGGGGGTACTTGGGGCCCCGACCCCTGTCACACACAGAGCTGCAGGGCGATCAGGGGGTTTGGGCGCTGCCCCCTGGCACGCTGATCCCGTTGCCGGGAGGCCTCTCGGCTCTGCTGATCCCGGTGCTGGGAGGCATATTACCCTTTTACTATATAGGATAGAGGCCTGGTGCATGGGTGGGGCTGGCTGGTTTGCCCTGAAGGGTGTCCTGGATCAGGGTGGGGGTCCCCACTGGGGTGCCTGGCCAGCCTGGATGAGGGGCTGAGGGCTGTTTTCAGGCTGGGACTGAAACTCCCAACTGCTCCTTTTTTCTTTTCTTTTTTTTTTTTAATTCTGGGCCAGCTTTAGCTCTGAGGCCTCGGCTGCTGAAAACAGGTTTCTGGCCTTTGTTTACCGTCTGTATTTGATACAATGTTGCGGTCCGGCTGGCTGAAGCCCCGCTGAGTAAAGCAGGTTTCTGGTTTTTTTTTTAGCTTTTATATTTGCAATATAGTTGCTTAGAGTTGCAGCTGAGAGGCCAGCAAGTCAGGCGGGGAACGTTGGAGTCCTCTGTCACTGAAGCAAGCAAGCCTCCCTGTTCGCATCAGCTGCCTGGCTGCCAGCCGCCATCTTGGCTGCCAGTTAATTTGCATATCTCGGCCCTACTCTGTGACAGGGGGATTAGCCAATGAGAAGGGTAGCGGTCGTACGCCAATTACCATGTTTCTCTTTTATTAGTGTAGATTTAATTTATTTTTTAAAATATATTTTTATTGATTTTTTTACAGAGAGGAAGGGAGAGGGATAGAGTTAGAAACATCGATGAGAGAGAAACATCGACCAGCTGCCTCCTGCACACCTCCTACTGGGGATGTACCCGCAACCAAGGTACATGCCCTTGACCAGAATTGAACCTGGGACACTTCAGTCCGCAGGCTGATGCTCTATCTACCGAGCCAAACCAGTTTTGGCAACCCCCAGATATTTAAATATAAAGAATTGATTATTACAAAATTTAAAAGTCACAAGAAATAAAAACATTCCTCTTCACATTAATCACCGAGGGCTGTGTGTTCCCTTAGTGGACATTTGGTTCCCAACACCAGCTGTGCAGGAGCAGGGCAGGAGGAGGGCGGGAGGAAGGCAGGAGGAAGGTGCTGGGGTCCAACCCCAGCAGGTCCAGGGGTCTCCAAAGGTGTGGACGGAGTCGGCGAAGAAGGAATGACACGGAGACAGCGTTCAGTTGATCAGCAGCCTAGCCAGGATCTCTAGCCAAGTTCTGGTCAGGATCTCCAGCGAAGTTCTGGTTAGGATCTCCAGCCAGGTTCTGTGTCCATGTTCTCTTGCTAGGTTCTCCAGCCAGGTTCTCTAGGTTCTCCAGCCAGGTTCTGTAGCCATGTTCCCTCGCTAGGTTCTCCAGCCAGGTTCTGTAGCCATGTTCCCTCGCTAGGTCCTGTCTCTAGGTTCTGTCTCTAGGTTCTGAGGCCAGTTTCTGTCCAGGATCTTTTGCCATGTTCTCTCCAGCGAAGTTCTTCTGTCTCTAGGTTCTGTGTGTAGGTTCTGTGTGTAGGTTCTGTGTCTAGGTTCTGTGTCTGTTGTCTTGTTACATCTGTATTTATACCAGTTGATTCCAATCCTATCAATCTCTATTCCAAAGGTTAGGGCGTTTCTTATCTCCATTCCAGGGAGTAAAGATTATGTAGCTTAAGCATGATTGTTCGTAGTTAAAGTGATTAATTACCCGCCTGGCACTTAGTTAAGGGGTTTTATTCCCTCCCTAACTTCAGGGGAAAATCCCTACCTGGGGAAACAACCTTTCTCTGAGAGGTGACCTTCGTTAAAACACATAGTGCCAAGAAGGTGAGCAAACATATTAAGAACAGTATGCCATATATGCCAGGTCCCTTGAAACAGCAAGGATGGACCGGCTCCCGGCAGGAAGGTGGGAGGAGAGCGGGAGGAGGGCTGGAGAAGGGTAGGAGGAAGGTAGAAGGAGGGCGGGAGGAGGAGGGGAGCAGAAGGGTAGGAGGAGGAGGAGGACAGGAGGAGGGCAGAGGGAGGGCAGGAGGAGGGCAGCAATGCTGGGAGGCAGGCTCAGTCAAACCAAGGGACTGAGCAGGAAATAGTGCCCTGGAGCAAACAGCTTTAGGATGAAGGAAATGTCAAATCAAAACACGGCGAACAAATAAGTGGCCACTTGTCTTAAGCAGCCAGTGGCCTGCACCAAGCTGCTGTTTAATTAAATTTCCTCTGAAAGGAACGTGAGCTCGATGGTTGCAGTCATCTGATGGACCTGCCCTGTGACACAAGCGCTGAGCACATGGCAGCCCTTCCTTCCCAAAGACTGCCCAGAAGGCCTGGCCCACTGTCTCCTCTGTGAACAGAAACCACTGTGATTACTTGAGAGAGAAGATGAGGAGGAGCGTGTCAGATCCAACACAGCAGTGGAGGGGGAATAAAAGGCACCGCTCTCTGTCCCACGCAGTGGCGGAAGCAGGCCGAGGCCTCCTCCCGTACTTACTGTCCACTTTTTATCCACACGGACTGGGTGTAGAAGTGCAGGTCCTTGTTCAGAACCGAGTTCACGGCCTCTTCGAGGTGCAGCTCTCTGCCCTCACAGTGCTCCAGAGCGAAGAGGCTGAGGGAGGGTTCCTCAAAGACCTGCCAACAAGAAGGAGGGAGCATCAGCAAGTGCAGGACCCAGTTCCCCACTTCTTAGAGTTTTCTGCTCTACCCTCTAAAGATGTTCTAGCCAGACCTGCACTAGCGAGATTAATTCTAATAAATAAAAATCAATGGAACCTAAAGTTAAAATTGATGTTTCAGAAAACAATCTTAATCTATATAATAAAGAGCCAGGGTAGTAACAACCGAAAGCTTGACCAAACACCAGAAATCAGTGCTGGGTTGCCGCGGCAACCCAGCTCTGACTGGGGCCGCTGCGGTGCCCTGACCCAGCACTGACTGCCTAGGGAGCTGCAGATTAGGCCCGAAGAGAGGCCTGCAGAGAGAGAGAGGCAGGGTCTGATCCGTAGCCTCTGTGGCAGCCATTGATCAGAACTTACCTCTTGTTCTCTCCTGGCCTGGCCAACAGTTGGGCCTCCATTTCTCTCTAGGCCTCCACTGGGGCTGCTGATCAGCCACGCTTTTCTGACCAGGCCCCATTGATAGGCCCAGAGACGCTGACTGGCATAGAGACCGACCAATCAGAACCAAATCTGGGTCAACTGTGAGGAGTCAATGACTGTCTAGGAGGCAGAGCTTTTGATGCTGACTGGCATAGAAACTGACCAATCAATACCAAATTGGCTGGCAGAGGAGGGCAGTTGGGGGCGAGATCAAGCCAGCAGGGGAAGGCAGTTAGGGGTGATCAGGCCAGCAGGGGAGAGAAGTTAGGGATGCGATCAGGCCGGCAGGGGAGGGCAGTTGGGGGTGTGATCAGGCCAGCAGGGAAGGGCAGTTAGGAGCGATCAGGCAGGTAGGCAGAGGCAGTTAGGGGTGATCAGGCAGGCAGGCAGAGAGGTTAGGGGTGATCAGGCAGGCAGGCAGAGGGGTTAGGGGCAATCAGGCAGGCAGGCAGGTGAGTGGTTAGGAGTCAGCAGTCCCGGATTGTGAGAGGGGTGTCTGATCGCCAGTTTAGGCCCCATCCCACAGGGGCCTAAACGAGTGGCCGGACATCCCTCGAGGGGTCCCTGATTGGAGTGGGTGCAGGCTGGGCTGAGGGAAATCCCCTTCTGTGCATGAATTTCATGCACCGGGCCTCTAGTTTCATAATAAAAATGGACACCTGCTTCCAATCACATGTTAAGGGCTGGTTATGCTGTAATTTGGACATTTTGATCCTGCCAATGCTTTTAGCTGGCAACAGAATAAACATGGGACAGAATGGCACCCTCCTTCCTCAGGAGGCACAGGAGCAGCCACTAAGAACACAGATGTTATGGCTCTAGGTTCTTAAAAACATTCCTAGGAGGGAGAAGGAGGCATTTTTAATTTAGCGATAACAACCCACATGCACAGGGACAGGGCTGACTTCTGCACTGAAAGTGTCCCCCAAACCTTCTTGTTAGACAAGAACAGCATCAACATTACACTTTTCCATTCAAGACACTATGGTAGGAGACTTTTGGGGGATGAGAAATCAAAGTAATTAAGATCTATTTTGTGGTAAATATTTTAAAGTCTCTTGTGAGTCAAAAATGTTTTTCTCTATTTTTTGGTGTGTGGAGTGTGTTCAACATTTATTTATTAAGGCAAATTTATTCTTTTGTTTTTCAAATTTTTGAAACCTTAGGCCAAGTTCTGGCAAGGACGTGGAGAAAAGGGAACCCTTGTACACTGTTGGTAGGATTGTAAATTAGTATAGCCACTAATGGAAAAGTCTGGAGATTGCTCAAACACTTAAAAATAGACCTGCCATGCCCTAACCGGTTTGGCTCAGTGGAGAGAGCGTCGGCCTGCAGACTGAAGGGTCCCAGGCATGGGCATGTACCTTGGTTGCGGGCACATCCCCAGTAGGGGCTGTGCAGGAGGCAGCTGATTGATGTTTCTCTCTCATCAATGTTTCTAACTCTCTATCCCTCTCTGTAAATATATATATATATATATTAGACCTGCCATACAACTCAGCAATTCCACTTCTGGGCATATATCTGATGAAAACAAAAACACTAGTTGGAAAAGAGACATATGCAGCTCTATGTTCATTGCAGCGCTACTAGCCAAGATATGGATGCCACCCAGATATCCATCAATAGATGCATGGATAAAGAGGAAGTGATCTCTCTCTCTCTCTCTCTCTCTCTCTCTCCTCTCTCTCTCTCCTCTCTCTCTCTCTCTCTCTCTCTCTCTCACACACACACACACACACACACACAGGAATGTTTTTCAGCAATAAAAAGTAATGAAATCTTGCTATTTGCAATAATGTGAATGGACTTAGAGGATATTATACCAAATGAAGTATGTCAGATAGAGAATAAATACCATATGATCCATTTATATGTGAAATATAAAAAAAAAATAAAGGACAATAAAAAAAGAGAAACAGACCTATAGCTATAGAGAACAAGCTGATGGTGGCCAAAAGGGAGAGGACAAGGGACAAAAAATAAACAGGAAACTAAGTAAAAAAATAATGAAAAATAAGTTAACAGGCCTGTTCCACATATGGGCAACTGGCGACTTGGCAGGAAGCCCTGAGAAAGCTATGCTACAGGGCTTTGTGCAGGCGCTGTCGGCACTCCCAGCACTCCTTGTTGCAATAGGGAAACCTGAGTGGGTAAAGGGACCATCCCCGGCCCAGGTGTTTCCCATGCAGAGAGGATCCTTTCTACCTTTGAGAAAAAAAAAAAATTTTGATGAAGAGAAATAAAGGAAATTGACCCATGATAAGGAAAAACAAAAATAAACAAGAAATCAAAGCAAGGCACCATCCTGTGTTCCAGGCGTTACTAACTAGCAGCTAACTTAGGACAACTCAGGTTCTGTAACCTAATTCAGGGAGGACAGGAGGTGGCCTGTGAGAGCACTCGGTGGAAGGCTAGAGCACTTTTAGCAGAAAGGAGTAGGAATCAAGGCAGTTTCATGGATGTGGTAGCGTGTGAGCTCGGGCTATAGGGTGCAATGAATCTGGAGGGGCCAGGACAGAGGAGAGGGAGGGCACTCTGTGGGAAGGGAGGGAGACAGAAGCTGCTTGGGGGTGTGCTCTGGGGAGGTGGCTCAGTTGGTTGGGTGTCTTCCCGTGAACCGAGAGGTTGCTGGTTCCATTCCTAGGCAGGGCACAGGCCCAGGTTTCAGGCTCGATCACCAGTAGGGGAACGTGCAGGAAGCAGCCAATCGACATTATGCTCTCCCATCAATGTTTCTCTCTTCTCCCTTCCTCTCTCTCTAAAAAATCAAATTATTCTTTAAAAAAGAAAAAAAAACCTGCTTGGGGTGTGCTAGGGGAGAGCAAGTCGAGCCGTTTAGCTAGATTAGAGTCCAACAGGCCACAGTGTCACCTGCTCCCACTGCTTGCCACTGTCCACTGAGCTGCATGATTCTCTTCCGATACTGACAGGTGGAGACAGAACCGCTGCAGTGGGGTGTCCTCGAAGGCCTGAGGACTGGGGACTGGGACTGGGCTGAGGATCTGTAACTTGGTACATGAGAAGTGAAGCACCAGCAGCAGGCACTGTGCAAGGTCAGCAAAGAACTGACTCACAGCTGACCTGCGCATATACTTGCACAAGAGCAAAATGAATTATAAACGTGTTCTTCCTTGCACAAGTGTTAGGAATAGCAAAGGATGGGGAATGAGTTAAATGTTCATCAAGAGAGGACTGGTTAAATAAATTATGATACATTCACAGAGGAATTCTATATAGCTATACAAATGAGATCTTTATGAAATATCTGTAAGTTTTTATTTTTTAAAATATAATTTTATTGATTTCAGAGAGGACAGGAGAGGGAGAGAGAGATACAAACATCAATGGTGAGAGAGAATCATTGATTGGCTGCTTCCTGCACACCTCCAACTGGGGATCGAACCCGCAACCCAGGCTTGTGCCCTTGACTGGAATTGAACCTGGGACCCTTCAGTCTGCAGGCTGATGCTCTATCCACTGAGCTAAACCAGCTAGGGCTATAAGACTGATTTTTTAGAAGCAAATACTAAGTGAAGAATAGTGTAGCCCTGTGTGGCTCAGTTGGTTGGTGGGGTGTTGTCCTGTGCACCAAAAAGTTGCTGGTTTGACTCCCAGTCAGGACACATGCCTGGGCTGCGGGCTTGATCCTCAGTAGGGGGAGTGCAGAAGAGAGCAGATCAATGCTTCTCTCTCTCTCCCTCTCCTTTCTCTCTAAAAAATCAATTAAAAAATCTTAAAAAAAAGAATAGTGTAAAATAGCATACTTCTTATGTTACCATGATGATAAAAAGGGAAAACTTACACACATGTACACAAGGTGGGGCAAAAGTAGGTTCATATGGAAAATAATGTCATTAATAATACAAGTTGTATACGCACAAGTGTAAACCTACTTTTGCCCCCGTTTGTGTACTTGTATGTATATTAAAAATGTTCTTAAAAAATATAAAACTAACCATGACTATCCTTCAGTAGGATAGGATCTGAGAAGATACAGGGCACAAGTAGGAGCCAAGTTTTTTACTGCATGCCTTTTGTTACTTTTTGGGTTTTAAACCATGGGAATATATTGTTTATTCAAAAATTTACATTGGTAATTATTATGCATATGTTTTCATATATATGTGTGTTTGTGACTACTTTTAAATAAATGGCCTTCAGGAATTGTATCTGGCAACATGAGTGAAGAAAAGAATTGCCTGGCAGGCGTGGCTCAGTGGTTGAACATCAACTTATGAACCAGGAGGTCCTGGTTTGATTTCTGGTCATAGACATATCCGGTTGAGGGCTTGATCCCCAGTGTGGGATGTATAGGAGGCAGCCGATCAATGATTCTCTCTCACCATTCATGTTTCTATTTCCCTCTCTCCCTTCCTCTCTGAAATCAATCTATATAATAAAAGCCTAAGCAACTGTTATGGCGGAATGACCAGAACTACTGGTTGCTATGATGTGCACTGACCACCAGAGGGCAGACACTCAATGCAGGAGGAGCTGCCCCCTGGTGGTCAGTGCCTTCCCACAGGGGGA